CGCGCAAGGGGGATGATCGCACCACGTTGTGTTCAAATGGGCAAGCACCCTCGAGGCAGTTGCACGGTGCTTAAAACTGTCTCTGAAAGTGAAAGCACCAGAAGATAAATGAAGTCATACGCAGCTGTCATCCGCATGCAGGGAAGTAAGCACAAGATGCCGAACACCCTTAGCAGGATGCAGCGCACCCTTCATGCGACTCGCCGAATATATCACGGCGCTTCGCGCTTGGTGATGTGAGAGCCTGGTCCGGTGAGAACCCGGCGTGCTCCGTCCCGGCTTTGTAGGGANATGGCTCCGCACCCCCTAAAAAATAGGCGTGTGTATCATCTGCCGAAGATATCGGCAGGACAGAGGGGGTTTCCGAGCTGCTGTCGTGGCACTGCACGGATGCCACTCGCCCCGGGGTGGTCGATGAGTTGGGACTGTCGGTGACTACGGTCGTCTTCCTCTACGCCTACCCCACGCTCCTCGCCCAGCTAGAGGTGGGGTGTCCTGACTGCTTTCTATCGCATCTCCTGTCCAGTACAACCGTTATTCACGACTGCATTGTTTTGAACACACGTTTTGGGGTGGGATATGTGAACAGGAAGTTCGGACAGGTGTTTGTTGGAGATGTATTTGTACTGGCGCGTGTAGGCTATGCAGGGCAGAGAGAGTCAAGTCCGAGGCACCGCACGCACAGATTCGATGTCGATTTGGCGTGTTGCTCTAGTCTACACCCCTCCCTCAACGATCCAAATAACGGCTGGCTGTTGCCTGCTCCGTTTGTCACGGTTGTACTCCTGCACCTCTCACGCAAGCGTCGATATCTCTAGCGGACGGTCATTGTGTTCAGAGCGAAGGCCTATGATAGCGTCACAATTCGAGCTCTACATGTGGGGATGCCGACCGGAAAAATACCGATACCACGGGTAGCGAAATTCATGGGTGGTTTTACGGGGTGCGACACGACAACAGCCCAATCGAGTGGCACGTTTTGGGTTCCTTGGTCAGAGTGTGGTGCGTTTGGCGTCGACAGCTTTCTTATGGTTGCAAGACTACATGACAAGATCAACGAATGCTACAAATCTGTCCGGCAAAATGTGGCCGATTTCTCCCGATTCTGTTTCTTCGAAACCTACAGGGAACAATATTTTTCACTCACGCTCGCTACATGTAGATCGACATGTCACGCATGATATTTCTCCCTCTCTCTCGCTCAGGTGTTACTAATAAGGCTGAGGAGGGGAGGAGCCCGAGTATTTACCCTGCAATACCACTTGGTTGGCGAAGGGTGGGAGGCAGCAATATCCTGCCAAGATGAACCGAGCAAGCAGCTGTACTCGGCCCTGCCGCCATAGTGTAGATAGGTGTTCGCATTGCCTCCGGATGGTGCGATATTTCTGTGGTGTTGACCAACCGCCATGGCTCCCGTGTGCACCTCAGCATCTACCGTTCGGTGTGACTTGAGAGGATTCGTTCGCACCGCACGGACAAAACGATCAAAAAGCAGGCCTAGGGCGGACGGGTTGGGGTCGTCCTGTTACGAAGAACAGGCGGCGTGATGGTATCTAGTTGGTGTCGGATGCTGGTGATCATTCGGGCGAGCCTGGCTTGTGGAAACTTGTCTTTCGAAGACGTTCCGCTTAGAGTTCGTAACAGAAGGAAGGTCGCTCGGCATTGACTTCGCTGTACAAAATTGTGTGTTCCACTGATGTGTCGGTATCTCTTCCCCCTATATTCATGTCCGAGGCATGGGATGCGCCATGTAATTGACCCGCCAACGGTCGCCTGCCATGCACATGGGTGGGCAACTTCATGACCTTGTACGTGGAGACCAAGGAGTCTTTTGATCAAGCTGAACGGAGAATTTGAAATCCGTCCAAGTCACTTCTCACTTCCACCACATCCTCCACCAATCGAGGATTTGATCAGAGGAAAACCCCGGCAACGACCGCTTCGGAGATGGCTAACCGTGGCGGGTGTAGTGTACGCGAGTGCTATCATCACACTTGGCTCCGTTTTTCGTCGAGCCGTGCGGAGTCGGCAACACGCGCGTCAGCCGACCGAAACAACAGCAGCTGTGTCCAGCTCAGTCCGTCCGCGGAAAAAATCGCGGCGCAAACGAAAGAAGGGTTGTACGTGCATGACGGAAGGGGACACATACATGCACCCTTTGGAACGCACAAGAACCACTACAGGGATTAGGCCGCATATGTCAGCGGTTCCAAGTGCGTTGCAAACTTTGCCACACTCAGCAGTCGTTTTTGGATTTTTTTTTTGTCTCTCGTTCTCGGTGGAGCAGCACTCGCTCGAACCCGAAGTCGCCTAGTAGGCTCAAGCTGACATTTTCTAAGCTCTCAAGCCGGACCAATCCAGGTCGCCAAGCGACCGCCCAGCAAAATTAGCCTTTAGACAAAACACAGCCCGCTTAAGGCTGCCGACGGCAATTGCTGCTACGACCTCCACGCTTTAGACGCCCGAACGAAAGGTAGAGCAACACGACAAACGAAGGAAACGTTGACGAAACACAGGCACACGGCGCTCAACGCCCATCTGCCCCTTCCCTTCCCCCGTGTCCCTCGATTTGTTATCCCCCCGCTTCCGCCATGGCGACGCCTTGCCCAGTGCACTCGCGCTGCAAAAGCAGCCCGGCGCTTTTTGCTCCCAGAACACAACCAATCAAAACGGTTTTTCCTTAGACCTTGGCGGCGTTGGAGTTGGGACCCAGGCGCTTCCCGCCCACGCCGGTCACGACGTTGACGAAGCGTCGGTTGTATTGCATGCGCTTCTTCGCCCTACACAATAACAAGGAAACAGTCACCAGAAGACGGGAACAGCAGGCGCCGGAATGGTTAAGGTTTGGTTGAGGTGCTTTACGACAAAACGTTGTCAAGGCTGATCAGAACGTTTGGTCCGACAACATAGGCAGCCCCTGGAGCACTCGCAAAGAGGCGAGCCCGGCGTCACATGCCAGCGGGTAGGTTGTACAAATGCTGAGGCAGGGGGGCTACTGCAAACAGCGGCGTGGGGGCACCAACAAATCTCGTCCAGTTGCGAGGTGTTTTGAGCTATGCGGAGGGTGCAAACCATGTCGTACACTGTAGACAACACAGAACAACGCAACGCGGCTTGACCGCGCCTAGTAAGAACCAAACGCTCGCGAAACAGGGAGGGGATTCAAGGAGCTACCAGAAATGTATTGCGAAGTCATACAAGTTATACTGGACGCGCAGAACCCCTTTCGGTTTTGGTTGTGTCAAGGAACAGCTTGCATGAACTTACAAGCTCGGGGGACATTTACATTATGCTGCTGTCGGCCGCAACGTAAGGTTGGCTGACGGTGGGGTATAATCTGGTCGGATGGGTTGAGTCCTGTTCAAAGTTATGGGAGGGTTCTCTGGGTTGCCGCTTGTGGGACTGGCGTACGAAGCTTAAGCTTGCCGACAATCGCGAGCCTTGCCGGCTGGTGTTGCTGCATGTACGGATGTTGCTGCTGCTGCACGTACTTAGTTGTTTCCCCCCTCTATCTAGAACACAAGCTACGCACAGTTTGGTTTCTCGTATGCATACGAGCAGAGCTCGGTGGAAACCAAGGGTACGTACGGCGTGGCACCACCATAAAAAATCCTGCTTGGAAGATGTTTTCAGTGGCGTACAAAAACTACACACCTGCTGCAACATGAAAAGAACAAGACCGCTCGCTAGAGGCAATTCATCAAACCAACGAGACGCGGTGGTTCCCTTTTTGTCCGTCGTTTCGCAGGCAATGGCGATACGGCGGTCGGAATCGCAAACCATTGAAAACTTCCATGCTGTGCTACCGTCGTAGTTTGCATGAGAAATCACACCCCGTGGACCGTTTTTCAAGGCACAACTACTCGGCAAGAAAAGCGGCGACGGTGCCGAAAATGGGAGCGATGGAAACGTCTCGTTAGGAGCTTTCCGAAAACGAATCGTTTGGGAACAACATCCTTTTCTTCGTGGAGCAACCGAGCATTGAAAATCGGTCCAGGGTATGTGTGTGTGTGTTGTGTGTGTTTTCGTCCTATTTTTATGGCGACAGTCCCCCTATTTCTCGTGGTGAGACGTGTACTACACTTTTAAGCGTATGTAGAGTACTACACTTTTCAGTGTATTTTTTCGTACAACTACAACCATCCAGGGTCACACAGAAGGGGGTAAACACCAGGGCTTTTGTCTTCTTTTTATTTATTTTCATGCCCCACCTTCCTCCTGCGGTGCGTGCTGAATTTTATTTTGATCGCGAGAAGGGTCCAGCCGTCCCTTTCCCTCGTCAACGGTGCTACCGTCGAAGATTGGTACTCGCGAGAGCTTTTTAGCTTCATTTTGCTTTCACCCACAAATTTCGTAATGTTTTCACCCCATGGGGATTCGAACTCACGACCTCTGCGACTAGCGGACTACGAGGATACCACTAGACCACCGGGGCGACCGGTCGGGGTGTGGCATCTCGAGCAAATCACGTTACAGTGGGTGGCCCGATATAGTGCCGGTTGAATAGTGCCGGTTGCCGNATTGGTACTCGCGAGAGCTTTTTAGCTTCATTTTGCTTTCACCCACAAATTTCGTAATGTTTTCACCCCATGGGGATTCGAACTCACGACCTCTGCGACTAGCGGACTACGAGGATACCACTAGACCACCGGGGCGACCGGTCGGGGTGTGGCATCTCGAGCAAATCACGTTACAGTGGGTGGCCCGATATAGTGCCGGTTGAATAGTGCCGGTTGCCGGTATAGTGCCGGTGTTTTCGGCTCGCACACACCGGAATATCAAGTCTTTCTGTACTCTGAATAGTGCCGGTGCCCGGTATAGTGCCGCTTTGCTCTCTGAACACATACCGGCACTATAGAGGGCCCCCTATTGTACAGGATGCATCGGGAAAAATAAAGGTGTGTACGATGTAGATATGCTAATTCGAGGAGTAGTTTTGTGTTTTTTGGCCCAAACGAGACAGATAGAGCATCTCGGCCTCTGCACGAGTACGAGTAGAAATTGCCGTGCTCAAAATGGTGGAAGCTTGGTGTAAACGTAAGGCTCAATATTGGTGGGGGTACCCGCTGTGATGAAACTTGGCTTCTGCAGAGTGGGCAACAGCAAACAGCAGTACAGCGCAGTCTGACACCCTTTCGCGTAAAGGTGCTTGCTGGACGGAGAATGAGCTCAAAATTGTTGGCACCAAATTACAACAGCGGAGTTGGAGAGCATCTTGCTCCCACGACGCAAGGTACAAGACCCACTTTCGAACCAATGGCTATGCCTAGACTACACTCTCTCCCCTTTGGGAACGGGCGTGAGCCAGCAGCCCACGAACACCACGCACTGAGTGCCGCGTAATCGACAGGACACCACGTAAACAAACAACACAAACCTTCCGCGCGGCTGCTTCTTCTTCTCGATCTTGTCGATCTTGGGCGTCTGCCCCTTCACCTTACCGGCACGAGCCAGCGATCCGTGAACCTTGCCCATGGTTGAAAGGGGTGAATGTCCTGCCTCGAGAGGGAGAGAGAACGAGAGTGCCTGCGCGACCCAAGAGCAACTCGAGACAGAGCCATCCAACCGGCCGGGGCCCAACGATATCAAAATGGGTACCATGCAAAATATAGAGTACCCTATTTGCGCGCCCCCGGCGTGTTTGAATTTTCAAATCCGCAAGTGTGGATCGTGTTGTTCATGCACAACAGCAGCAGTGCCCACGCCACGCGCTCGCCCGTTCTCTCGCCAACTGAACGGCCAGGGTGATCCAACAGAGCATTGCTGATGTTGCTGCTGTTGCTGCTTGGTGTGACGCATGTATCCATGGACGACTATTGATCAAAGCAAGAAATTGCAGGCAATTCGCTCATCATGTCGCGGCGGTTTCGGCGTACCCGAAGTAACAAATTACATAGTCTAGAGGGGACTTAGAATCAGGCGAGCAAAGAACCAAACATGCTTATGCGTATGACATGACTGCTACATGGTACAGCGATAGTCTAGTGAAACGTTGCGCCAATCAACGTTCGCCTCATTGGACTAGTATTACACAGATTTCACGCCCCCGGATGGGTTTTCGAACATGTTTTTTTTCACCACACCGGCAACAGCAGTGAGTGTCCGTGCCGAAAACGGCGGAGTTGGAGCCGTCTCGTCGAGAGTTTTCGAAAACGCATCGTTTCGTTTATGCAGCCTCTCCGTCGTGTGGATCAATCGCTCTTCGACAATCGATCCCAGGTGTGTCGTATCTCGCGCCACCTACGGTAGTCGATTACTCTTGACGCTTCGATGGGTGGAGCGCTATCAAACACGCAAAGTCTGTGAAGTGCAGCACTACTTCGAATCTACAGCCTCTTTCATAACTTTGAACATCACGTACCTTGAACGTTCGGCTTTGAGCGGAAATTATCGAGAGGAGCCGACGGAAAATCGTCCCGAGTTGTGGAACAGAGCTCAAGCTCACCACCTTGCTTGATTAACTCATACAACCCGCAGCGAAAAATCCGAGCTGATCTTGGGGAAAATACTCGCCGGACGGCTGACGGACGCGTCCATGGCTTCGGCAAGCACGAAGTGGACTCAGCCCAACGTTTTTTTTTCATTCGTGACGTTATGACTGGGCCATGACACAGCTGTCGCGACACCCCATGGTGACACTGCTCTCCTAGCAATGCACTGCTGTCACATGCAATGGCCTGAAATGGTGCTGGAACACCATGAAAACGTCATGGCTTGATCAGATCGGGTCCTTGATACTACGGCTTCATTACTTTGTGATGCCATGCCGCACCGTGGCTCACACAAACAAGCGCTACAGCCCGCCTATTTTGCCTGGGGCTCGACTTCTGACTTGCTGGCAACAGTGTGGACCACCCTTCGCACACTGCAAAGGTGGCAACGGCCTTCGCACTATACGTAAGGCTAATCCTTGCACCCCTTTAGAGGGCCAGCAGACCAGCGTCTGGGTCCTGCATTAATCGGCAATTAAATGCGGCGAAAGTGACAAGGGACGCAACCTCGGGACCTCGGGAGACCATGAGATCTGATCGCATCACGGCATTGTTCATCATAGACAAGAACTATACTCCTTCCTACACATGCTTCTGTACAACTTGCCAGTTTCTTTTGGCAGGATTTATCGGTATGTAGAGGGCCGGCACGGCCGTGCCTTGGTGACAACCAGTCAAGGTCATCAACAACTGGAAGTCCGCACCAATTTCTCACGATTCCCCTCAAAAAACAACAGAACTGAGACAATCCCAGCGCTCCCAAGAAAAACCAAATGCACAACACCTTATTAAAAGAGACGTCAAAACAGAAACCGAACCAATCGAGTTGCCGATTCCGATGGCTTCGCCACGGCGACAAAAATACTGACTGGGGCCAAGATCGGCAGGCCCTGCAGAACACCCCGTGCAGCGTTCTGCTGGAATCGCTTGGAATCACGCCTCGGATCGGACGGGTCAGTGGGTCGCGAGCCGAGCCGGTGCCGCCTATTAAATCATTGACAAAAGAAGAATGTGGGGGGGTATTCAGTACCATGTGGGGTGGTTGGTCGCGTTCGTGAACCGACACCGTTCGGATCTCAAGCCGAGCACGTCGACACCGCGAACACAACGGCGGGGTGTCAGATGACCCGAAGGCATCGTGATACCCATGAGTGGGGCGGGCTGTGGGACGTCAGGCGTAACACGGAATTAGAGCACTCATCTTGATAGAGGGTTTGATACTGATACCACACACACAGCCCTATCCCCTGAAATGGCGCCAAGCTTAAAAGGCAACAAAAATACGCCTGGTCACTGCGCCCTCCGAGCACATGGCGAGCTCCTGAGCCCCATCTAACACGCCAGCGTACTTGTATGCCTCGGGCGCTTGTGAAAATCAAGCGGGAACCAACTCTTCTTCTTACACTTTTACATATTTGACCGCGTGCCGAGACGACGTGAACCTACAGAGCAAAGACAAGCTGCCTCTGTTTCTGCAACGTGAAGCCGCACCACGCCAGCCGAAACCAAAAACGAGCAAGCGCACGCCACACGCCCTTCCTTCGATAATTCGGGTCACGGGGGGGGGGGGGG